TAGCATTTTGACTTCTGTATATTTTTAAGTTATGTTCAAATGTTCTTCTTGACAAATCGTTATAGATTGAAACATGCGAAAAACCTGATTTTCAAAAACATATTCCAATTTGGTCAACTGTATTACCCTGCAAATTATTAATTGTGATGGTAAAGGCAGTGAATTTTATTATGAATTTTGGGGTCTTCTCTTTGGACTGTCTTCCTCAAGTTTATGGCTTAAATAAGAGTGGATTGCATTCTCCAATCTTGGCTCAGCGGTAATTCTCTGAACTTACGACACTAAAACTCTGGTTTCGATACCGGTGTTGGACACAACACAAATAGCCCATTGTGTAACACTGTGCTTAACAACAATCAAACAAACAGATAATGATAAACAAAACCATAATCCGCAGTATATTTTACTTTCGACGAACATTTAATTATTCCTCGTAACAGCCGTCAATGTTCAGATAAGATCAAACATCGGATCGTAAAACAGGAAGGATAGGAAACATTATTCTTTACACTTCTATTTCGTGAAGTCCAAATAAATACTGGAGATTATTAGTATAAAAAATATTTTAAGATCAACTAAAATATTTGTTGCTTTGGATATTAAGAAACTTGAAGATCATATTTTTCCAACTTTTTTATTGAATATTAATTTTCTCTGTGCTCTTTCGAATACCACAATTAAATCAAATTGAAAAATAGCAACACATTCTGATTAATTACTTATACATCTGTACTGATTATACATGTAAAGTTTTATCTTGAATAAATACCGTATAAATATCCACAAAGACAATATTTGTTATTCTGTTTTATAGTTATAAAATCGATTAACATGAATAACAAACTTTTCTACACCAAATTTTTTTTCATCCTAAATAAAAATAATACAATTCAATAAACTTCACATGACTCACGCGCTTATAACCCATACAAAAATGCCTCAATTGGAAAGTATTTCCAATAGGTTAACAAGAACTATATTTAGTTCGATTAGAGTTAATATTGCACAACAATTTCCTGAAGATAAACTGTTTCGGAGGAAGAATATACGTTTCTAGAAAATTGTTAAATCAGTTCTTATTCAGTGTCAATCAAAAAGCAGCGAATTATAAACAAATATTTCTCAGTACTAGATCTGTGATTTAAATGTTTTTTCTCAAAATATAGAACCCGTTGGGTATAACAGAATTAATAAACTAGGATTACACCAAACGTTCTACAGTAAATTTAGGCATAAAGTTAAATAATTTCATTTAGTACCAAATTGACGAAAAAAAATATATGTAGTTTCGATTTATCCCAATCGATATTAAGTTATCAAACAATATTACAACTTAAAACATGCTAGTTTAATAAAAGCAAGTACTTGTTGTTCTTAGTGGATTAATTGTCTAATATTATTAGGTCGTCAAGAAATTAATGTCGCTTATTTTTAGAGGAAAAAACCCGAACAACTTGTATATCATAACAAAACATTTATTAAATGAAATAGTCCCAATTCTTATCGATGACGCTTTTCCATCTCACATTCAGGTTGTTAATGCTCTGATTAAAGAAATCAATTTTCTTTGAAGCAAAAAACACTTCGATGTTCTCTTTAACACCTTCCACATCTGCATACGTTTTCCCCTTAAGATGGTGTTGCAGTGAACGAAAAAGATGGTAATCTGATGGTGCCATATCTGGAGAATATGGTGGGTGGGGAAGAACTCCCCAACCCAACTCCATAATATTGTGTTGCGTCAAAAGTGTCACATGTGAACGTGCATTGTCGTGGAAAAGAAGAACACCTTTCCGATTGAAGAGTGAAAGGCATTTCTGATGAATGGCTTAATTTAAACGTTCCAGTTGCTGACTAGAGACCTCTACATTGACAGTTCGCTGTGGATTGAGCAGTTCGAAATGAATTACTCCTTTGATGTCCCACCAAATGCAAAGCATCACTTTCTGCAAATGGAGTTTAGGTTTTTGGGTCGGAAATGTTTTTGTCTATGACTGAGCCATTGCTTTTGGCGTTTGATACTCGCAAAGAGAATCCAATTTTTCATCACCGGTGATAATTCTGTCCAAAAATGGTTCACGCGCATTACGCGCCAGAAGAGACGAAGCAATGTTCACACGTTCGAAACGATGATCATCGGAGAGTTCGTGAGGTACCCAAACACCTTCTTTATGGAAGTTTTCCATATTCCTTTGAAGGTTACGTATTGTTTCATGAGAGACATGCAATTTCGTGGCCATTTCACGAGTGTTTTGCCTTGTGTTAGACTCAACAAGCGTCTTCAGAGCATCAATATCAATTCCAACATGTCGGTCCCTACCATCACAGTTTGGAAGGCTAAAGTCACCTGAACGAAATTTGCTGAACCATCGTTGACACTTACGAACGTTCAAAACATTTCCATAATAATTCATTTGTTACTGGGTTTATAACAGTACCTCTGTCTGTCGGGGTGTGAACGAGTTCTATCGATGGGTGGAGGATTATCGTTTATTTCCTTTCAGCTGAGGAAACAGAAACGTGATCACAAATATTAGGAGAAAATTAACATTCGCAGAAATAATGAAAGTAAGATGTTGTTGAAGTCTGTTTCTCTTCCATTTACCCCTGTTCTTTATAATTAGACAAAATATATATATATACCTCTTACTTTGATATATTTTACGCACTGGACGTCGGAAATCTGATATGCCTAACAAACTAGACCAACATTCCGATCATTTGAGCTAGTTTGACCTAACTTCGCAAATGAAGGATTTTCTGTCATAAGAATACAAGGACTGGATCCTAATTCTGAAAACTTTAGAAAGGTATCACTGCTCAAGCTCTTGAAGGAAGACATCATGCTAATGTTCCGAAGACGACTCAGACAAAGTCAGCAGGAACAAAGTAGGTATGACAGAAGCTTGTTGAATGATGTGGTGCGAAATATCTGCAATTGGGTGATTTTAACAGTGGAACAACCACCTTCCTAAACTGGAAAAAGTCTTCTGCAAACTGAAGAGAGAATACTACAATGGGAGGAAGACTTGTGACTAAGATTTGTGACCAAGTTATGAGACTAGTCACGGCAACATCCGCAGCTTCTCTAAAGTCATTAAATATTGATGGTGATGGCTGCATCAATTTTGATTCAAAGCAATCTAACCACAAGCAAGGTGGGATGTTGTCGACTGTACCAACGAACACAGGTTGCCAATAAAAAAAATGAACTTGTGTGCCTTTTGTCAATAAGAACTGGAAGGATAAATGGGATAAGGTAACAGTTCATCCCACACATTTTGAGTTCATTCTTTTATACTTACTTTCTCATATTATCTACTAAACTATATTATTCAGTAATGATTTTAACTACTGTATAATGAACGTGTTTCTGTAACCACTTCAACTGTTTTAACTTTTATCTTAAATTTTGAGTTTCCTTTATCACGATCGGTACGAGTTTTACTTTATTTTGTGTTCTAGAGTTTATTATTTTTGTTTCTATGTTGAAGTTATTGTGTTGTAGTAAAAACTTACGTTGTTTACCTGATGTTTAAACGAGTTAATTAGATCCTTCGATTAAGTTTAAAATTAAATCTTTAAAGATCGAAAAGAGAAAGGCCTTGCTATCAGGAAAGATGTGGTGTCAAGTTAGTTTGGATGGCTACCCACTTTTCTTTTTTGTGTAAATTGTAATGCCTGTGCACTTTTTGTACTAATTTTTGAAATACTCAAGAGGAGCAAAAGTTTTTTTTTATAATTTGTGTTTGATTATTTAAAAACACAACTTGATGTTACAGAATGGAGTATATGTGCTCTGCCTACCATGGGTATCTGAACTTTAAGCATTTTTGTCTAATGTAAGTAAAGAAAGAAAGAAATTAAAACTTATCACATTGTATCTACAAAATCCGACATGGGTAATGGTATTTTCATTTGGAGTCTTTAATACTGCTTTTTCCAACATTCAATATTTTATCTCATCAAAATTACGAAATTTAATCCAGATCTTACCTTAAATAATGAATTAAAACACAAAATCCATTGATACAATTGAAAGTCGCATTATTAAATATATTTTTTGATAACTTCCCGACACTTAACACCTATTCTATCACATAATAAGCGAATTTTTCCTAAAGTTACTTTTAAGTATCTTTTTATACTCCAAAATGTTTAATTGATAAAGGTAAGATTTCTTGGTCTGATTTCTTTACAGGAAATTTCTTTTGTATGAAAACTAAAAATACCTTACGTCTTCGGACATGAAAATCTTACAAACTTTTAACCCATAAGAAAAATTACAGTAAGTGATATGCACTAAAGACTTGCCCAATAGCTTTCGAAGCTTTCACATATTACTGACGTAATTCAAAATATCTGTCTGGGGAAAAAACTTTCAATTACAAAATTTAAAAGATTTCCTACTAATAAACTTTGGAGAAGTGAGGTATTGTTCTCCGTAGTTTCCTTTCAAACATCCTCTGTCTAATGTTTATAAACTAGAAGAATTTTTCTCCATTAATCTGGGTTTCAAAATCCAAGATAAACATTAATTCATCAGTTTGGACAGCAGACTTATACTAACTGGAAAGAGTCTTGCTGACCACTAAGTCTCTTGCTAGACGGTTTAAACGACTAAGGCAAAAAGATACGTAAACAATAAAATGCAGCTTAATTTATAAATGTTTATCCTGGTATAAAGTCTGTTACAATAAGCATTAACACTAACAAGAACGTGGGCACAAAGTAGACCGAGAGAGAAAGAGAGTTGAATAAATATAGGTGGTGTTCTCGATATTACCAACAGAATAATAAAGGTTTTCATGGGATGTGAAGATGCTGCAAATGTTATAAGTTCTTTCCACATCGTGGACCAATGATAAAAATATTAGATTTCTTATAACAATAAATTTTCTTCAACTATTTTGTTTAACCACACACCAGGAACGTCAGATCTTACAGAGTTGCTTGTGTATACTCGATGTGTGTGTAGTAGATGATCTGACTTAGGGGAGTCACGGGTAAGAAACAAGAGCAAGTTTTAAAATTATTCCTAGCTATTCTTGCTGCATTTTGTTACAAAATGTTTCCTGAATCCAACATTGTAAATACATGTTAAGATTATTCTAAAATTTAACTGATTAAAAAATTTCCTTCTGAATTTATCAGAACATATACTTAAGCTGGTTATATATTATGTTCAGAAAACTTAATGTTATGATGAAGGAAAAGTTGTTTTTTTGTTGCTAACAACAACTATAAATGAACTGTATATTCTTGTGCCCAGGTTATGGTAATTTTGATGGAGACAAACATCAAGTTATTATTCCCTCTCATCAACTTGGAGTATCTTCTTCGACTTGGATGGAAGACAAGCGTCAGGACGTAATTCCTTATCCTCGAGTTGGTCGAACTTCCTGGAACTTGACGGAAGACAAGCGTCAGGACGTAATTCCTTATCCTCGAGTTGGTCGAACTTCCTGGAACTTGACGGAAGACAAGCGTCAGGACGTAATTCCTTATCCTCGAGTTGGTCGAACTTCCTGGAACTTGACG